GGAACAGAACTTAGTCATTGCAGCAGGATACATGACATTGTTTGAAGCAATTGTTAACAAATATTCCCACCCTTGAAATTTAACCAAATCAAGAAATTCTAAAAACCTAGCCTTCTTGCACCAGTCTAAATCGATTCTATGTCCAACAACATACCTCTTAGCATCAGTTCTAAGTTCCGATTGCTCACCGTCATCTTCCTCTTCAACCTCATCTCTATATTCTGATCCATTATGTTCCTTTTCACCCTCTTCTTCTTCTTCATCTTTCTTATCATCTGAATTTTCTCCTCTAGCAAAAGCATCCAACTCTGCCATCTTCTCTTCAAAAGTTTTTCCTCTCAATCTCTTTTCCTTCCATTCTTTAAGTCTTTCGAAAATAGATGCTTCCTTCTTGCTTTCTGCTTCATCGTTGAGATTAGGGTTTGGCATTGATGATTTAGGTTCAGACAACGAGGGTTCAGGATTTTCAGAATCTTTTATGGTGGAAGGCGAGGATTTGTAGTTCACCATGGCTAAGGGAGAAGTTGCTTCTTGAATAGTTCTTTCGGAATTTTGAGAATTTTCTAAGGAAACGATTTCAGCAATGATAACCATGGTTTTTGAAGGTGGTTTAGAGCTTTGATGATTTTTACTAGAGGTGGGTTAAATTGATTTGACAGTGAGGAGAAAGTAGTGGGTGAAAGTTGATTTTATAATTTCTGAAGCGGTGTGATGGAGTTAATGGGTCACTGTTCAGTCATTTAATTGAACACATTCAATTAATTTTTCGAAATCAATTTGGCATGATGAATTTTCCAAATTCTTTTCTTTCCAAATTCATTTAATATTATAAAAAGAATTTTCTGAAAATAAATCACGCAATTGGAACACACTTTCTACACACATGCAATGTACACTACTACAAGCAAATTTAATTAAGTGATTTCATGAACTAACCTCCAGTGATCAACAACAGTGACACTTTAGCTATGTTTAGCACACCAAGATTGTGCTAAATGCTCTTTTTGCTCTATTTACATTATTTTCGACTTTCCCATAACTTGGAACTTCAGAAGCAATCAATTCAGCTTGATCATCCCCAATTCCAGTCTCAATTTCTCAAATCTTTCTCTGTTCAAGGGTTTGGTCAAAATATCTGCAAATTGATATTCCGTATTACAAAATTCCAATTTAATATTCCCTTGCTCCACATTATCTTTTAGAAAGTGATGCCTAATGTTGATGTGTTTTACCTTAGAGTGCTGAACTGGATCCTTAGAAATACATATAGCACTTTTGTTATCACAGTAAATAGGTACACATTCAAATATTAGACCAAAATCTCTAACCTGTTGCTTTATCATGAGTACTTGTGAACAACATGCTGCCGCTGCCACATACTCAGCTTCAGCTGTAGATAATACAACTGTGTTTTGCTTCTTGGAACCCCAAGAAACTAAACAAGGTCCTAAAAATTGTACCATACCTGAAGTGCTTTTTCTATTAACCAAATCACCTGCATAGTCAGCATAAGTAAAGCCAATTAAATAAAATGTGTCACTTCTAGAATAGAAGAGATACAAGTCATCAGTTCCTTTTAAGTATCTAAGGATTCTCTTGACTGCTTTCAGGTGAGACTCCTTTGGATTTTCTTGGAACCTAACACACAAACCTACACTGAAAGATATGTCAGGTCTACTAGCAGTTAAGTAAAGTAGAGAACCTATCATACCTCGGTTCATAGGGGTATCAACAAAAGTTCCAGATGGATCTTCATCCATTCTAGTTTCTAAACCCATTGGAGTATCATTGGTCTTAGCATTTTCAAGCTTATATTTCTTGATCAGTTTCTTGATATACTTTTGTTAATGGACCATGATTCCTTCTTTTTTTTGCTTAATTTGCAATCCGAGGAAGAAATTTAATTCTCCCATCATACTCATTTCATACTCTCCACTCATAAGGTCAGCAAAATAGTTGCATAAAGATTCGTTAGTTGCACCAAATAAAATATCATCTACTTAAATCTGTACAACTAGGATATCAATTCCATTTGACTTCAAAAACAAAGTCTTATCAAATTTGCCTCGTTTAAAATCATTTTTCAAAAGGAACTTTGATAACCTTTCATACCATGCTCTAGGAGCTTGCTTCAACCCATAAAGAGCCTTGTCAAGCTTATAGACATGGTCAGGGAACTCCTGACTTTCAAATCCAGGAGGTTATTCCACATGGACTTCTTCATTTAGAAATCCATTTAAAAATGCACATTTAACATCCATCTAGAACAACGTGAATCCCATATAAGCAGCAAAAGCAATAAGTAAACGAATAACCTCTAACCAGGCTACTGGAGCAAATGTTTTTTCATAGTCTATTCCTTCTTGTTGATTGAAACCTTGTACAACAAGTCTTGCTTTATTTCTGACAATAATACCATGCTCATCTAGCTTGTTCCTAAACACCCACTTCAAACCTTTGATCTTCTTATTCTTGGGTCTAGGTTCCAGATGCCAAACTTTATTTCTTTCGAACTCATTTAGTTCATCTTGCATAGCATTAATCCAGTCTGCGTTAGTCAAAGCTTCAACATAGTTCTTAGGTTCCCTAGAAGAGAGGAATGCATAGAACGCACAGAAGTTTCTAAGTTGAGATCTGGTTTGAGTTCCTTTTAAGATGTCACTCATTATTGCATCCACAGGATGAGACTTCTGATATTTCCAACGCTTAGGTGTAAAGTCCTTGACTTGATAGAATCTTTCCTTATCAGTGTTGACTGGTTCTTCTGCAGGAACTCGTTCTTTAGTCTCAGCTGGAACTTCAGCATGATCTCCTTCATTCTGATTTAGATTCTATTCATGAGGGGGAGTTCCAGGTGCATTCTCCATTTCTTGACCTTCATTTGCTTCAGGATTTGTTTGCTCAACAATTTCAACTTGCTGCTTCTGAAATGTTGTTGATTCTTCATCTAGATCTGCCTTGCGCACAAATCCAATCTCAAAATCATCATCACAATCCTGTACATCATTCAATTGATCAGTTTCATTAAATTTAATATGTACAGATTCCTCAACACACATTGTTCTTTTATTGTATACTCTGTATGCTTTACTATAAGAGGCATATCCTAAGAATACAGCCTCATCACTTCGTTCATCAAACTTTCCTAAATTCCTTTTACCATTGTTATGAACAAAACATTTACAACCAAAAGATCTAAAGTAAGAAATATTAGGTTTTCTCCCTTTGATCAACTCATAAGGAGTTTTGTTAGTGATGGCTCTAACAGATACTCTATTATGAATATAACATGTTGTGTTCACTGCTTCTGCCCAGAAGTTCCTAGGAAGACCACTTAAGATCAACATTGTTCTAGCCATGTCTTCGAGGCTTCTGTTCTTGCGTTCCACCACTCCATTTTGTTGTGGAGTTCTTGGGGCAGAGAAGTTGTGATCTATTCCATGCTCAGTGCAAAATTCATCAAATTTAGAATTTTCAAATTCAGTTCCATGATCTGATCTAAGATGAATCAGTGGATTACCTGTTCTTCTCTGTTCTTTCTTTACAAAAGCTACAAATTCATCAAATGTTTCATCTTTACTAACAAGAAAGAAAACCCAAGTAAACCTTGAAAAATCATCAACAATAACCATAACATATTTCTTACCACTTATGCTTTAGATTCTCATAGGACCACATAGATCCATATGAATGAGTTCCAAAGGTCTTTTGGTACTTACCATCTTCTTGGACTTAAAAAAGAAATTCGAGTTTGTTTTCCTCTAACACAAGCATCACACAATTTGTCATACAAGTAAAGTAAAGCTTGCATGGCCAAATCTTTTGTGCCATAATAGAGGAACATCCTCAATGACACTCAGACATGTTAGATTGTTGTTAGGAACTTCGTTAAGATCCACAACATATGTGTTCCCTTTATGAGTTCCTTCCAGAACATTGTTCCAAGTGTCATTGTGAATGATTCTACACTTATTAGAAGTAAAGCTTACAGAGTTACCTTTGTCACAAAATTATGAGATACTTAACAAGTTGTGCTTGAGACCCTCGACTAAAAATACATTATCAATAGCATGGGAACTTGACCTTCCTACTTTGCCAATGGCAACTATATCTCCTGTCATGTAATCTCCAAAGGTCACATTTCCTCCATAGTAGGAATCCAGTGAGAGAAATCTAGATTTATCTCCAGTCATGTGCTTAGAACAACCACTGTCGAGGTACCAAGTGTTGTTCCCCCTCACTAGAACCTGCATGAGAAATCAAACGTTAGTTTCAGGAACCCAGGTGCATCATTCTTCTTGATCCAAATTTGTTCTACGTGTTTTTCATTTTTTTGTGTACTCTTTTCTTTCATAGGACACTTAACCTGTTTGTGTCTAGTATTTCCATAGAAATAACAAACAATACTACTAGGCAGGTCAACATACTTCTTTTCCTTTTGGAACTTCTTTTTGAAACCCAAACCTTTTGTTCTCTTAGTTTGGACTTTAGTGATCCAAACTAAAACTCTGTAGTCTATAGGTTAATTACCTTTCCTGGCTTTCTCAAATTCCCCCTCAAGTCTTGCCCTATCCGCTTTCATATCCTCCAAATCAGATTTTAGTTTTTCAAAATTCGGATAATGAGCAATTTGAGGAACTTCAGAATCAGGAGTTTCTATATAGAGTTTCATCAAGGATAGTTCCACATTTAACATTATGTTATCATGTTTCAACCTGTCTATAGTTTCTTTCAAATGATTATTATCATCAAACAGACTAAATAATCTATATTGAATATCAAATTTCATATTATCTACCCACTCACTGTTTTCTTTAAAAGTTACCAAAGCTTCATCACTTTGTTGTTTAGCTCTATGCAATTCTTTCAATTCTTCTTGAATTTCTAAAACAGCAAATATTAAGTTTTCTTTTAGAGAAATGTCTAAGTTCTTTTTGAGAAAACCATACCTCAGATTCTAACGCCTCCAATTTTGCCTTTTCATCAGTCTTTGCCATCAATCATAGATGAGCAGTTTCTTCTGACGGTTGATCTTCCTTTTCCTCTGAATCAGAATCTCCCCAGGCAGCTAACATGGCTTTCTTCACATTGTCCTTGGTGAAGTAAGGCTTATAGACTCTTGACTCCTTAGATTGCTCCTTGCCCTTAGTCTTTCCTTTCTCACCATCTGGTTGAGGAAAATATTTGATGAAGTGATCTTTAGACCCACATTTGAAACAAGTTGTGTTTCTGGAACTTGTAAACTTCTTGTTCCTATCAAACTTCTTGTAGTTCATCATCCTTTTGAACTTTCTAACTAGAATTGCCATCTCTTCCTCATCAGCTTCTGATTCCTCTAAGTCTTGGGCCTTAAGAGCAAGACTCTTATTCTTGGAACTTTCAAAATTGGAGCTCAAGTGAAGTTCATGAGTCATCAATTATCCAGCTAGTTGTTCCATGTTAAACTTTGTGAGTTCCTTGGCTTCTTGCATGGCAGTAACCTTGGATCTCCATCTTTCATCTTGTGGTAGGCTCCTTAAGATCTTTCTAGCCTGTTCATCAATAGGAATGTGTCTGCCAAGAGAATTCAGTTCATTAATAATATTATTGAACCTAGTAAACATTTCCTCTATAGATTCCTTTGATTGCATTTCAAACCTTTCATATCTAGACATCAACAAATCAATTTTAGAACGTTTTACCTCATTGGTACCTTCATGAGTTACCTCTAGTAGATCCCAAATCTGTTTTGCAGACTTACATACCATTATACGATTATGTTCATGAGGTCCAAGTCCACAGTGCAAATACTTTATAGCTAAAGCATTTAATTCAAGTTTCTGATAGTCTTCTTTATCATAATCAGAAATAAGTTTAGGAACTACCTTGTTCTTGTCATTGGTTGCAGTTATTTCAAAATCACCAGTTTCAATAACACGCCAAACCTGGTAATTTTCTGCCTTAATAAAGATCTCTATCCTGTTCTTCCAGTAGGTGTAAAACTTACCATTGAACATGGGTGGACGTTGGGTGGAATACCCTTCTTCCAGCTTCTCCTTGTAATTCATCCCTCCAGGAACTTACTCAGCAAAGTTATCTGCTTACACGTGAGAACCTTTCTCTTATACCAATTGTTAGTTGAGACGATTAATACAAAAGGGGAGGCGTGAATTGTATTGAGTTCCTAATGTCTACTTTTCGTGGATTAATAAACAATGCATATAGGAACTTAAAGGCACACACAGATTTTACGAGGAAACCTTCCAGGGCCCAACTGGAAGTAAAACCTTGACCCTGACTTAGGGATTTCAAACACACAAACTCCACTATAATAGGGCAAACACCAAGTTACAACCCATTAGACACGGACCTTTAGTTTCACAAGTTCGTCACTGGAATTGCTACTTGATAGGGCCCTATCCTACCCAACCTAAGCACCACACTTAGATTCACTCGTACTTCCAAAGTACTACACGTACTACCAAAGTACAAACACTCAGCCTCACCACGAAGCTTACAAAACTGTGTATAATATAAACGATAAACACACCAAAATAACCCTACCTAATACAAGAATACGACACCTAGTATGTTAGGCAAACAATGCACGAAATCCGAAACTAATATGACAAGTTAGAAGCTTGGTAAACTTACTCAATTACGCACAGAGATTTCTTCACGCATAAACTCACAAAAACCTAAAACCATTCTGCTCTCTACTATTTTTACAAGTCACACTCGTATAGAAAGTAGGTTTTTCTAAAATATAAATAAGTTAACTTAACTTATCTTTAAAACATGGTTATATGTAAATCATATGAATAAAATCTTTTGCAGAAAATAAAGATAAAAGATATTTTGTTAAAAAGAATTATCTTTTTAACAAACCGATTTAAAGGAAATAAAACATTTAGAAAATCTTTTCCTAAAATCTATCTTTTATTATTTTCCGTTTTATTTTATATAACAAGCTAACTTGTTACCCTTCCAATAAATTTTGTGCAATAACCTACTCAACATATTAACAATAATCTAGAAAGATAAAAACCTTAACTAAATTAATAGCTGCGCCGCGCTTTTGTTCAGCTAGATTACTTGGGCTCCAAGCTTGTTAAGTTCCACCAAAAAACCTCAGCTTGTTGTCTTCAAGTTCCTGTTAAGGGACGTTCCTATTAGGGAACTCGGTTCTTGTTAGAGAACTCTTCTTCTGATTTGTTTAACTTCTTTGATAAAGAATTCTTCATGTCTTCTTAGTTCCAGCTACTTCTTCCATCACCACAATAAACTTCACCTAAACTAATCAAACTTTTATGCTTCAACATAAGTTTTTTAAATCGAATGAAAGTCCTATGCATTCAAAGAAGCTAATTGAATCAAATGAAAAAAAACAAATTAAAACAAAGCCTTTAAACTAAAATGATTATCAAACACATTCAAACAATGCTTTTTGAATCAAATGATAGTCAAACACATTCAAACAAAGCTTTTTGAATCGAATGAAAGTCAAACACATTCAAACAAAGCTTTTTGAATCGAATGATAGTTAAACACATTCAAAAAAGCTTATTGAATCAAATGAAAGTCAAACACATTAAAACAAAGCTTTTTGAATATAATGAAAGTCAAACACATTCAAACAAAACTTTTTGAAACAAAGTCATATGTATTCAACGAAGCTTATGGAATCAAATGAAAGCTCAAACCATTTAAACAAATCTTTTTGAATCAATTGAAAGTCAAACACATTCAAACAAAGATTTTTGAACTGAATGAAAGTCAAATGCATTCAAACAAATCTTTTTGTATAAAACGAAAGTCAAACACATTAAAACAATGTTTTTTGAATCAAATGAAGGTCAAACACATTCAAAAAAAACTTTTTGAATCGAAAGAAAGTTACACACATTCAACCAAAGCTTTTTTTAATCAAAGTAAAGTCAAACTCATTCAAACATAGCTTTTTGAATCGAATAAAAGTCAAACACATTCAAACAAAGTTTTTGAATCCAATGATGGTCAAAAAAATTCAAACAAAACTTTTTGAATCGAATGAAAGTCAATGCATTAAAAAAAACTTTTTGAATCAAATGAAAGTCAAACATATTGAAACAAAGGTTGTGAATCAAAGGAAAGTCAAACACATTCGAACAATGCTTTTTTAATCAAATGAAAGTAAAAATATTTAATTAAAGCTTTTTTTAATTAAATGAAAGTGAAAGAAATTTTAAAAATGATTTCTAAATCAAATGAAAGTTACACACATTCAAACAAAGCTTTTTGAATGAAATGAAAGGGAAACACATTCAAACAAAGCTTTTTGAATCGATTGAAAGTCATATGTATTCAAAGAACCTAATTGAATCAAATAAAAAAAGAACACATGAAAACAAAGCATTTTGAATCAAATGAAAGTAAAACACATTCAAACAAAGCTTTCTGAATCGAATGAAAGTCATATGCATTCAAAAAAGCTAATTAAATCAAATAAAAAAACAACACATGAAAACAAAGATTTTTGAATCAAATGAAAATAAAACACATTCAGACAAAGCTTTTTATATCAAATGATAGTCAAACACATTCAAACAAAGCTTTTTAAATAGAATGAAAGTCAAACACATTCAAACAAAGCGTTTTGAATCGGATGATAGTTAAACACATTCAAAAAAGTCTTTGTAAATCAAATGAAAGTTAAACACATTCAAACAAAGCTTTTTGAATCTAATGAAAGTCAAAAACATTCAAACAAAGCTTTTTGAATAATGAATGTTCTATGCATTCAAAGAAGCTAATTAAATCAAATGAATACTAAAAACATTTAAACAAACCTTATTGAATCAATTGAAAGTCAAACACATTCAAACAAAGATTTTTGAATCGAGTGAAAGTCAAATGCATTCAAACAAAGCTTTTTGTATAAAATGAAAGTCAAACACATAAAAATAAAGTTTTTTGAATCAAATGAAAGTCTAACACATTCAAACAAAACTTTTTGAATTGAAGGAAAGTCAAACACATTCAAACAAAGATTGTTTAATCAAAGGAAAGTCAAACACATTTAAACAAAGCTATGTTAATCAAATTATATTTAAACACATTTAAACAAATTTTTTGAATTGAATGAAAGTCATATGCGTTCAAAGAAGCTAATTGAATAAAATGAGAAAAAAAAACAAATTAAAACAAAGCCTTTAGACTCAAATGATTATCAAACACATTCAAACAATGCTTTTTGAATGAAATTATGGTCAAACACATCGAACAAAGCTTTTTGAATCTAATAAAAGTTAAACACATTCAAATAAAGTTTTTTGAATCGAATGATAGTCAAACACATTCAAAAAGCTTTTTGAATCAAATGAAAGTCAAAGATATTCAAACAAAGCTTTTTGAATCTAATGAAAGTCAAACACATTAAAACAAAACTTTTTGAATTGAAAGAAAGTCAATTGTATACAAAGAAGCCAATGGAATCAAATGAAAGCTGAAAACATTTAAAGAAATCATTTTAAATCAATTGAAAGTCAAACACATTCAAACAAAGATTTTTGAATCGAATGAAAGTCAAATGCATTCAAACAAATCTTTTTGTATAAAATGAAAGTCAAACACATTAAAACAAAGTTTTTTAAATCAAGTAAAAGTCAAAAACATTAAAATAAAGCTTTTTGAACAGAAGGAAAGTCAAACACATTCAAATAAAGCCTTTTTAATCAAATTATATTCAAACACATTCAAACAAATCTTTTTGAATTGAATGAAAGTCAATAAATTCAAACAAAGGTTTTGAATCGAAAGAAAGTCAAATGCATTCAAACACAGCTTTTTGTATCAAATGAAAGTCAAACATATTCAAACAAAGGTTGTGAATCAAAGGAAAGTCAAACACATTCAAACATTGTTTTTTTTTATCAAATGAAAGTGAAAAACATTTAAACAAACCTTTTTGAATCAATTGAAAGTCAAACACATTCAAACAAAGATTTTTGTATCGAATGAAAGTCAAATGCATTCAAACAAAGCTTTTTGTATAAAATAAAAGTCAAACACATAAAAATAAAGTTTTTTTAATCAAATGAAAGTCTAACACATTCAATCAAAACTTTTTGAATTGAAGGAAAGTCAAACACATTCAAACAAAGATTGTTTAATCAAAGGAAAGTCAAACACATTCAAAGAAAGCTATGTTAATCAAATTACATTTAAACACATTGAAACAAATTTTTTGAATTGAATGAAAGTAATATGCATTCAAAGAAGCTAATTGAATAAAATGAAAAAAAAAAACAAATTAAAACAAAGCCTTTAGACTCAAATGATTATCAAACACATTCAAACAATGATTTTGGAATCAAATTATAGTCAAAGACATCCAACAAAGCTTTTTGAATCAAATAAAAGTTAAACACATCCAAATAAAGTTTTTTGAATCGAA